CTGCTTGGCGTGGGAGAAGGAGAGGAGTGATCCGAGAGTTAGATAAGTGGATTTCCAGGGAGGTCGGTTACGAGTCCATGCTTGTGTCCAGCGGTCTCCTGCTGCACTGGAAGATGGAGGCGGCGGTCCGGGGATCAATAGGGAGGACTCGCGCTCGCAACCGCTGCCACGATATTCCCCCCCTGCGAGTGCCGTCCCTCTGGTGTTTCCTCGGAGGGTGTGGCCCTGTGTGGCCCTGTGTGTGGCCCTGTGGCTCTTTCGCTAGCTCTCGAGGCCTCCAGACGGCGGGAGGAAATAGTCGGCCGCCACACTCTGCTGGGAAACGTATATGTCTAGCAAACTGACGTCTGTACAGCGAGCCAGCCTGGATTATTCGAAGACCAGTAGCCTACATACGGCTCGCATGTAAGGCCGGCGCTGATTGGCCCGCGCCGTGATCAATGCCGGCGACGCGCCAATGGCAGGCGCCCACACATCCGCGGGGAGTCGGCAAAATCGATATACAGGGCCAGGGAATGAGTGCCAAAGCGCCTTGTACGCAGCTCCAGCCCTGAGCGATCCTCCCACTCGTAGAGACCCTGGCGGAACGTCGTGTGGGGCAGCCCGTCTCTCCCCGTCTGTCTCTGTCTCTCCCTGTCTATCTCTGTCTCTCCCCGGCCCTGTCTGCCTCTGTCTCTTTCCGTCTATCTCTGTCTCTCTATTTCTGTCTCTGTCTCTCCCTGACTCTGTCTCTCTCTCTCTCTCTCTCTCTCTCTCTCTCTCTCTCTCTCTCTCTCTCTCTCTCTCTCTCTCTCTCTCTCTCTCTCTCTCTCTCTCTCTCTCTCTCTCTCTCTGTTTGTCTCTGTCTGTCTGTCTGTCTGTCTGTTTGTCTGTCTCTCCGTCTGTCTCTCTCTCTCTCTCTTTCCCTCCCTCCCTCTGTCTGTCTGTTTCGTAATTCTCTCTCTCTCTCTCTCTCTCTCTCTCTCTCTCTCTCTCTCTCTCTCTCTCTCTCTCTCTCTCTCTCTCTCTCTCTCTCTCTCTCTCTCTCTCTCTCTCTTGGGATCGTTTCCTTCGTTAGTCAAGCGCCTCTGTTTCATACAGCGCGAGTCTTTCTTGCTCAGTTTTCCCCTTTTCCTTGCTCTCTCTCCCTCTCTCTGTCTCTCTCTCTTTCTCTCTCTCTCTCTCTCTCTCTGTCTGCCTTCCTCTCCCTCTCGCATTTTCTCGCAAGACACGAGACCGTGAGTTTACAACATTTCCTCTTGCATTTCTGACCTCTGGCACCCAAAACACGGCGATGTCCCCCCCTGCTCCCCCCCACTCCTCCCTACCCCTCCCCACCCTCCTTAAGATCCCCCACCCCATCCCCAATCCCCGGCCTCCTCCCCTCCCCCCACCCCCACACGCACCCCCCCGGTTTTAGAATCAATATGACAGATGTGCCAAGGGAAAAATCACCGTGCATCAAGAGTAATTAGGGGCGAGGATCAAATACCATGACCAGAACCCCCCCTCCCTACCCCCCCCTCTCTCTCTCTCATTCTCTCTCTCCCCCTTCCTCACTCCCTACCTCCCTTCCTCTCCCCCCCCTCTCTGCCCCCCCCCCCATCAATTTTCACCTCCTCCCCTTCTCACAAATTCTTGCCTTCTTAACCCTTCCTTCCCCCCCCCACGTCCCTCACCCCCCTCCTTTCCCCCCCACCACCCCCTTCCACCATCTCTTCTCTTTCCTCCCCTCCCCCTTCTCCCCCTACCCCCTACTCCCCTCCTCCTGTCCCCTCTCCCCTACCCCCCCTACTCTGGAGGATAAGGGGGGGGTTGCGTGGTGGGGGGTGGGGGGTTGGTGGGGAATAATTTGGTGAATGGTATTGTGAGAGGAGGAGGAGGGGGGGGCGTAGGGGGGAGGGAGGGGGGAAGAGGGAAAGAGGGAGAGGGAGGGGTAGGGGGAAGTAAGAGGGTGGGAGAAGATGGAGAGGGGGGTAGGGGAAAGTGGGAGGGGGAGAGGAGGGGGAGGGGGGGAGGGGAAAGTGGGAGGGGGGGAGAGGAGGGGGAGGGGGAAGAGGGAGAGGGAGGGGTAGGGGGAAGTGGGAGTGGGGAGAGGACGGGGAGGGAGGGGGAGAAGAGGGAGAGGGGGGGTAGGGGGAAGTGGGAGGAGGGAGAAGAGAGAGAAAGGAGGGAGAGAGAGAGGGAAGGATAGGGGAAGTAGGAGGGGGAGGAGAAGAATGAGTGAGTTAGAGAGAAGAAGAGGTAGAGGGAGGGGGAGGGGGAGAGGAGGGAGAGAGGGGTAGGGGAAGTGGTAGAGGGAGATGGAGAGGGAGGGAGAGAGAAAAGGGAAAGTAGAGGGAGAGAGTGAGTGAGAGGAAGTGAGGGAGGGAGAGATGGGGGAGAGGAAATGGGAGAGGGAGGGAGAGAGGAAGAGGAAAAAGGAGGGGGAGAGGGAGGGAGAGAGGAAGAGGAAAAAGGAGGGGGAGAGGGAGGGGGAGAGGAAGAAGAAAAGAGAGGGGGAGAGGGAGGGGGAGAAGAAGAGGAAAAGGGAAGGGGAGAGGGAAGGAAACGCCTTCGGGACAGACCGACAGGAAGACAGAAACAGAAACAAGAAAGACAACAATTTGGAGTAAACGCATGACAATTTCCCTCCTCTTTTAATTCCCCCATTTATTCACAAAAAATCAGCCGCCTTGTCCACATATCATGTACACCATATTATGGAGATTAATTAGAACCACGTCTGTGCCAAATTTTAGCAGAATTACGCGAACCGTAACACCGCAGGACGCAGTAATTGACTCTTTTTTTTTACGGAAACTTGAAAAAAGAAAACGCGGTAAAGTAAATTTTGAGACGGGGTATCAAAAAAAAGAATAAATAAATAAATAAATGAATAAATAAATAAATAAATAAATAGATAAATGAATAAATAAATAATGAAAATATATGGGCGTGTACGTTTTGGCCGCTGTTCTTTCAAATTCGTTTTGGCCCAAAAAATGAAGACGTGGCGCAATTTTGACATAGTTTGCATCAAAAACTCGGAACAACGACATTTACAACACGGAGACACATCAATAAAAATATATATATTAAAGACCGACCGACATACAGAGACAGACAGACAAACTGAAAGACAGACAGACAGACAGACAGACAGACAAACAGAAAGACAGACAGACAGACGGACAGAAACAGAGAGACGGACAGACAAATACACAGACGGACATAGACAGATAGAAAGACAAACACACAGGTAGACAGAGGCGCACGGACAGACAGAATGACATTGAGACAAACAGGCTAGCAGACAGACACACACACACAAATTGGAAGAAAGACAGACAGACAAACAGACAGACACACGCACACAAATTGAAATTAGGACAGACAGACAGTAAAACAGATAGCAAGACAGACAAGCAGACAGACACACGCACACAAATTGAAAGAAAGACAGATAGACAAGCAGACACACGCACACAAATTGAAAATAAGACAGAAAGAAATACAAACAGAAATACAGACAGACAACAAGACAGACAGGCAACAAGATAGACAGATACATACACAGATTGAAGAAAGACAAACCGACAGATAGGTAGACATACAAACAGTACTAACAGACAGAGAGAAACGGAAATAAACAGACACAGACTGAAAAAAGTCGGTAGTGAGTGGGCGGTGAGTGGGAAGGTGAGTGGGGGTGAGTGGGCGGTGAGTGGGCGGTGAGTGGGCGGTGAGTGGGTGGTGAGTGGGTGGTGAGTGGGCGGTGAGTGGGTGGTGAGTGGACACTGAGTGGGTGGGGAGTGGGAAGGTGAGTGGGGGTGAGTGGGCTGTGAGTGGGCGGTGAGTGGGAAGGTGAGTGGGGGTGAGTGGGCTGTGAGTGGGCGGTGAGTGGGAAGGTGAGTGGGGGTGAGTGGGCTGTGAGTGGGCGGTGAGTGGGCGGTGAGTGGGTGGTGAGTGGGTGGTGAGTGGGCGGTGAGTGGGTGGTGAGTGGACACTGAGTGGGTGGGGAGTGGGAAGGTGAGTGGGGGTGAGTGGGCTGTGAGTGGGCGGTGAGTGGGAAGGTGAGTGGGGGTGAGTGGGCTGTGAGTGGGCGGTGAGTGGGAAGGTGAGTGGGGGTGAGTGGGCTGTGAGTGGGCGGTGAGTGGGCGGTGAGTGGGTGGTGAGTGGGTGGTGAGTGGGCGGTGAGTGGGTGGTGAGTGGACACTGAGTGGGTGGGGAGTGGGAAGGTGAGTGGGGGTGAGTGGGCTGTGAGTGGGCGGTGAGTGGGAAGGTGAGTGGGGGTGAGTGGGCTGTGAGTGGGCGGTGAGTGGGAAGGTGAGTGGGGGTGAGTGGGCTGTGAGTGGGCGGTGAGTGGGCGGTGAGTGGGTGGTGAGTGGGTGGTGAGTGGGCGGTGAGTGGGTGGTGAGTGGACACTGAGTGGGTGGGGAGTGGGAAGGTGAGTGGGGGTGAGTGGGCTGTGAGTGGGCGGTGAGTGGGAAGGTGAGTGGGGGTGAGTGGGCTGTGAGTGGGCGGTGAGTGGGAAGGTGAGTGGGGGTGAGTGGGCCGTGAGTGGGCGGTGAGTGGGCGGTGAGTGGGTGGTGAGTGGGTGGTGAGTGGGCGGTGAGTGGGTGGTGAGTGGACACTGAGTGGGTGGGGAGTGGGAAGGTGAGTGGGGGTGAGTGGGCTGTGAGTGGGCGGTGAGTGGGAAGGTGAGTGGGGGTGAGTGGGCTGTGAGTGGGCGGTGAGTGGGAAGGTGAGTGGGGGTGAGTGGGCTGTGAGTGGGCGGTGAGTGGGCGGTGAGTGGGTGGTGAGTGGGTGGTGAGTGGGCGGTGAGTGGGTGGTGAGTGGACACTGAGTGGTGGGGAGTGGGAAGGTGAGTGGGGGTGAGTGGGCTGTGAGTGGGCGGTGAGTGGGAAGGTGAGTGGGGGTGAGTGGGCTGTGAGTGGGCGGTGAGTGGGAAGGTGAGTGGGGGTGAGTGGGCTGTGAGTGGGCGGTGAGTGGGCGGTGAGTGGGTGGTGAGTGGGTGGTGAGTGGGCGGTGAGTGGGTGGTGAGTGGACACTGAGTGGGTGGGGAGTGGGAAGGTGAGTGGGGGTGAGTGGGCTGTGAGTGGGCGGTGAGTGGGAAGGTGAGTGGGGGTGAGTGGGCTGTGAGTGGGCGGTGAGTGGGAAGGTGAGTGGGGGTGAGTGGGCTGTGAGTGGGCGGTGAGTGGGCGGTGAGTGGGTGGTGAGTGGGTGGTGAGTGGGCGGTGAGTGGGTGGTGAGTGGACACTGAGTGGGTGGGGAGTGGGAAGGTGAGTGGGGGTGAGTGGGCTGTGAGTGGGCGGTGAGTGGGAAGGTGAGTAGGGGTGAGTGGGCTGTGAGTGGGCGGTGAGTGGGAAGGTGAGTGGGGGTGAGTGGGCTGTGAGTGGGCGGTGAGTGGGCGGTGAGTGGGTGGTGAGTGGGTGGTGA